ACTGGCCTCTCACCGCTGTGGTCCGGGTTCGATTCCTGGGCACGGACCATATGTGAGTTTGAGTTTGTTTGATGTGTTGTTCTCTCCCTTGCCACGAGGGTTTTTCTCCGGGTCCTCCGGTTTTCCTCCCTCAGTAAAAATCAACATGTGAGGAGTGTTGTGTGCTAAAATAATTAATGTAGAGGTAGTGAGTGTGAGTGTGAGGGCCACAAGTTCATCAGTTCTTTACTGTCACGTGTTACCCTCGTAAAATAAAGTCGATTTATTTTTTATTTTTATTTAAATCGGGGAGAAGTTTCCTACTTCAATAAGTAATTGGCCAAAAAGCACAGAATCTGACATCGTTTAGTTTTCAGTTTCCAATTGAAGTTCTAGTTAATTTTAAACGTTGCCCCATCCTCTTTAAGCACATAAAATCAGATTGGGATTCTCAAGCCCCGCTCCTGATAAATATCGCACAGTCCCTAAGTCCTTCAAACATGCTGTTTTATTGTCAAAGTGTTTCGTATCTTTCTAGTTCATATCATCAATTTGGCCGAGTAGTACCTAGTACTTGCGCACACACCATCCAGTTCAGTGTTTGAACATTAGTGTTTAAAGTACACTCGAGACCAACTTCATTCACCTACCCATTACATAAGCTTTCAGTTAACATCCAAAATTGGTCTTGAAAATTGAAGAGCAGAACGCAGGCCGAGAAACGTTAACTACCCTAACAGCACATGCAATTTTACGTATTCCTAACAGGAATTGTATATTCAAAATGAAAAAGTAGAGCAAATAATCAGCCATATCGCGATTGTATAATATAATCAATATCGTGTAACGTTTGACTGACTACGCTTCATTTCCTAAATGATAGATTTTTTTATAATTTTTTTTTGCCGTCATTTTTCCCTCTGTTCCATTCACAGTCATCCATCCATCCATTCTATTATTTACAAGATTCTATTCCTGTAGGTCGTTGGCGTCGATTGCTGTGCCCGAGCGATTGATGTTGCAGTCAGGCTTCAAAACGGAGAGGAAATTCAAGTCGACACTGGTCGTCAAAATATACTCATAGATGTACCACAAGATACTGATCGAGACAAAGTTGTATTCAAACAGGTAATTACAATCTATGGCAAAAAAGGGTTATCAGGGTTCTATACCCCTTAACCCTTAGCAACATTGTTTGCGGGTCACGTGAACAGCCTAATTAATTTCACGGGCAATTATAGCGGAATACCTAATCCTAACGACATCGAACCATGCAGGGGAAGCGATCGCACTTTTATATTGTATAAGATGCCTATACCATGTGTATAGGAGCGGTTGTCCACCCCAGAAATCTATAATAAGTTTAATTACCTTGTTATGATATGATTGATATAGTGTGCGAACCTGTGGGGACGTTATTCAGTCAGACCACATAAAGATAATTAGTATCCACTAATCTATGGTCTATTACAAATCCCGAGCCTTCTGATTGGCTACCGAACTATAGAATATAGTGACAGACCATGGCCACATAGAATGAAGCAAAAATAGTCGAAAAATGTGGAGAAAAATCGTTCTTTGCTGTCTTTTTCAAATTTAATGCTCAATTGGACACTAAAAAAACGGGCCGGGAATGGTGTGATTCTGATTCTAGTACAGATGATTATAAACT